ACTAGAATTAGAATTATAAGATTATCCTAGAAGAAGGAGTAAAGTTAAGCCTAGAAGGAATATACTCTATAGCGCTTAAGTACGATACTAAGCTGTGGGATTACCTCTAAAAGAACTTAAAAAAGGGATTTATTTAACTAGGATTAGGCTTAATAGCCTTACCTATATTATTTATAAAGAAGTCTGATAGAAAATAGTAACTATATATTAACTTTAGAAGATTAAACAGCGTTACTTAGAAAAACTAATATCTCTTACTACTAATTACAGAGCTTATAGATTAACTCTAGAGAGCTAAGTAGTTTATAAAGTTTAACGTTTAGAAAGGATTTTACTAAATCAGAATTAAAGAAGGCTATAAGTAGATAATAGCGTTTAAAATAAAGTATACACTCTTTAAGTATATAGTTATACTATTTGGATTAACAAATATACTAGTAACCTTTTAATTAGTTATTAATAACGCACTCTATAAATATCTTAGAATCTTTATTACTACGTATCTAGACAACGTACTAGTATATACTAGTAGTATACGCGAAGAGTATATTAAGTATATTAAGAAGGTTTTATAGAAGCTTAAGAAATATAAGCTATACCTTTAACTAGGAAAGTGTAAGTTTTATATATAAGAAATAGAATTTCTTAGATTTATTATATTAACTAAAGGAGTAAAAATAAACTTAAAAAAGATACAGACTATATAGAAATAGCTAAAACCTAATATGGTTAAGAATATCTAGTCCTTCTTAGAATTTATAAATTACTATTAAAAGTTTATTAAGGATTACTTAAAGATTACCGCACCTCTTACAGAAGTAACGAAGAAAGAAATAGGTTTTAAATAGAAATAGAAATATTAAGAGGCTTTTAATTAAATTAAGTAGATATTCTTAGAGGTACTAGTACTTAAGATATATAACCCTTAGAGATCTACTAGAGTTAAGACTAACGCGTCTAACTACGCACTTAGAGCTGTATTATTATAGTAGTACCTAGATAGAAAATAGAAACTAGTATTCTACTATTTATAAAAGTTCTCTAGAGTAGAACTTAACTACGATGTTTATAATAAGGAACTACTTAGAGTAGTTAATACCTTTAAATAATAGAAAGTATACCTATTAGAACTCTCTAACATAATTAAGGTATATACTAATTACTAAAACTTAATAAGTTTTATAATAACTAAGAAACTTAACTAATAATAAGTGCGCTAAGTAGAGATACTAGCCTAGTTCGACTTTAAGATTATATACTACGCGGGAACGCTTAATAGAGATATAGACGCTTTAAGTAGAAGGTCTAATTTACGCGAAGAGAGTTATAAGGAACTATATAACGCCTTACTTAAGATAATATCTAATAGTAGTTTAAAGTATAACTAGCTAGAACTAGCTAAGATAGCTAAGATAGCTGAGTAAGTAGAAACGCTATAGTAGGAATAGTAGCAATAAGTAGCTAGCTAGCAGTTCGAGCCTAACAAAACTAGCTCTAATAAACTATTAAATAATAAATAAGAGTATTAAGATATAATTTTAAAGAATTAAATATATATACCTCTATATATAAGATTAAATCTTATATAGAAACTATATAAGTCTCTAGAATATAGACATATAGAGATTAAAGAAATAGTTAGACAACTAGCTAAGGTATTTATAATACTACGCTTGCGAGCGAAGATATAGAAAATACTAGGTAACTATTTAGTATATTACTAGAATAAGCCTAAGAGACATAAGCTCTACGGCCTACTATAACCCTTATAGCCGCTATTAAGACTATAGATAAGCGTAACGATAGACTTTATAGTAAAGCTTCTAAGATTGTTAGAACTAGGATTAGCTTAATTTTGCGATATAATCCTAGTAATCGTAGACTAATTAACTAAAGTAGTAAAATTTATACCTATAGAAGAAACTATTATAGTAAACGAATACGCGTACGAAGTTACTAAAGTACTAGTATTAGAATATAGAATATCTAAAGAGTTTATTACTAATTATAATAAACTATTTACGTCTAAATACTAGAATACATTCCTAGCAAAGTTAGGTATTAAGAAGAAGCTTTTAATAAGCTTTTATCTAGAAATAGACGGCTAGACAGAACGCACGAACTAGATATTAGAATAGTATCTATAGATATACGCTAATAAATTATAAAACAACTAGATAGAGTAGCTACTAATAGTATAATTAGTATATAATAGTATAAAATCTATAATAATAAAGCATTCGCCGCACTACGTAAACTATAGATATAAGCCAACTACTTATAGAGATCTAAAAGATATTAAAAGTATTATAGTAGGTGTAGACGATAAAGCAAAGCTTATATGAGAACTATACAAAGAATTAAGTAAGAATATAGCTTAATAAAACCTTACGATATCTAAAGTAGTAAATAAACTAAGGATTAAGAGACTAACCTTTAAGAAGGGGGATAAAGTTTTCCTATTATAATAAAACCTAAAAACTAAACGACTATATAGAAAATTAGATAACCTCTAAATAGAACTATTTAAAGTTCTAGAGGTAATAGAAAAAGTAAACTATAAGTTAAAACTCCTATAAGGTATACGAATCCACCCTATCTTTTATAAGAAACTCCTAGAACTAGCACCTCTAGATACTAAGCTAGTAATAGACATAGAGCTTAAAGACGACGAATATAAGGTTAAAGAGGTTAAGAACCTACGGAAAATTAGTCGTTAGTAGAAGTACTTAGTTAAGTAGCGAGAATAGCCTAAGAGCTATAACACTTAGGAACCTAAAGGAAATCTAACGAACTATAAGTTACTAATACGTGATTTTTACTAGAGATAACTAGAGAAATAAAAGTTAAATCTATAGCGGAATAATTAGAATCTGTAGGGAAGAAGGAAAGGGAATAATTAAAAGAAGGATTAAAGAGATTAGCCTATAACTAGCCTAGATTAGCTAATAGTTTAGATAGCGATAGTTTAATAATAGGAAGGCCCGTACCTCTAGAGGCTAAGCTCCCCTTAGCCTACTCTTTTGTACGATCCTAGATAGTAAGAATTACTAGATCGCGACGAGTAAATAACTGCTTATACTTTTTTACTTCTAGAAGCTCTAACTTTTGTTAAGAAAGCTGTGCCTTAAGATAAGTAACTGCTAGCTCTCTCTCCTTACGCTTCTTATAAACTTTTTCCTACTCTTCCTTAGAAATAAATAAACTATACTTAGCGCTAACCAAGATACACCTAGTATAATAGCCGGAAGACGTCTTAATAAAGTAATAAAGCTTCTTCTCTTTATAGCGCTTATAACGAAAATTTATTTTAAGACTCTTCTCTTCTACTCGCGTAGCGTGAGTACGCTTCTATTTAGTTAAAGTTTAAGTATAAG